ATATTTATAGTCACCGTGATTATTTTTTGTGTTTTTCACTATTGGGCTGCGTTGAGTACGAAAGATTGAATTCCTACTTCCCCCTTATTTAGGGTTTGAAAAAGCTGAGGATGAAGATGGTGAAGCTCCAGAAGTTAGATTAAAGATATGGAGTCCAGCAGGAGTGAGGAAACCGTGAGGAAAACTGAAAATTGGGTGAAACGCTGAAAAAAACGCGTCTTGGATCCCAGCTGGAACAATAACAAATGTTTGTAACATTGTGTTTGTAACACAATAACATTGTGGCACGTTAAGATGCTTCACGCATTTAAATTGTTCGTTTTTTGCGTGCATTATGTAGAAATAATGATTATTCCTACGATGTTCTGCAGCAATAAATACATTGGCATTGGAACGATAACCTTGTTTAGTTGAATTACGTTGACAGCAAAAGTAAGTAAACACGCAGTCACTTACTTTTGCTGTTGCTGTTAGTGAACACACAATCCGTAAATATCTTCTTTGAAATTGGTTCTTCCGCTCAGAATATTCAGTAAATTTTTGTCTGGGAAAATCAAAAAGCCCTAGGGCCGAATCGTTTCCCAAATACCTTCAACATTAGCCGAGGCGGGCCGAAGCCATTTACTGTATGCCTGGCCTATTCAAATACATTAGCCAGAGGGGTGTGGTAATAACTGGTGTAAGCAAATTGACCACGGTCAAAAACGAATTACCAAGTCAACATTTTGGGATGGCCTCGTTCAAAAAACGGCTAAGAGCTTCGGTCTAGACAATTATTTTATCGTTGGCATACAGTAAAATACATACCAAACTCGGCCGGTGATAAATTGTCAAGACCCGGCCCCCGGTCAACAGACATGGTAGCCCAAATCTAGTCGGATATGAAAATTATTCTAAATCCATAGACTTTAATGCTAAATTGACTATAATTGAGAAGGTTTTATGAAGATACATGACCAGATACAGAAAAAAGCGAGATGCTATCTTGTAGATTAAATCGTCTACTATCTGCGACTTTTGAAGTGGTTTTCAATCTGAGGTACAGAAATCGTGTTCCCAAGAGACTGAAAGTAGCCATGCTTTACATTAGACCCAATGGCAAAAATTCGGAATCTGACGAAATTGGCCATTTTTACGTCTGATTTATGAAAATTCTGGACAGGATATATAAAAACCCGAGATGCTATCAGGTGGAAAATTTCATTTTCTATTACCGCCTTTTGAAGTGTTTTTCGATCTGAGACCGGCAAATCGTGTTCCCAAGAGACTGAAAGTAACCCTGTTCTACAGCAAGACAATGGCAGAGTTCTAATATTTGATGGAAGATATCTTAGGTGATAATAACCTTACTACTAATTGCAAGGCTTCATTAGAAAGCTCAACACTGGCACTATCATCGGTCTTTGCATTGCTATTTCACAGAACAACAAGAAATAACGTTTTGAAGCCTTTGCATATTGACTTACTTTTCATCGACGGGCTCGATCCCCATCACCACCAACAATTTTCCGGGAAGTCAGGATTTTGCAGATATTTAAGGAGAATTGCAGAGCTGTGTTAATACTACGACACTTAAATACACATTTTAAGAAAACTGCTTTCTTTCTTAGCATGAATTAGTTCTCAGAAGCAGCAACATGTCGATATAATGAGGAAAAACAAGTGCAAATGATCACGCAAGAGAGTATCCTTAGCTCCCTAGCAACCACCTAGCAACGTAAGACAAAATAGTAAACAACTCCTGTTGATGTGAGGTACTCAGCCTTGGAAGCACACTAGACGGTCACCATACTGGGCTTCATACTGACTTTTGCATACCAGAATGGATGTTTCCAACTAAAATTATTTTTTCACGAAATTTATCTTTGTTGCCCTACTATTTTTCGTAAAACCGAGATATACAAACTTCATGATATCAAAAATAATATTGTGATAATGAAAATCGCCATATAAAACAAAATAATTGCTGAGATCATGCCTACTAAACTTGGTCCTACCCCCTAATTCAATATACCCTGGTCAAGACCTCAGTCCTTACTGATTTTTGAACTCGGCCTTCGGCCTCGTTCAAAAATTCAGTAAGGACCTCGGTCTTGAAAATTTATTTACACCGGCCTCGTTCAGTATTATACATATATTCCCAAATGCACGTGCTAATGTTAAAGGGATATCTCGGCATGTGGTAAAAACAATGTATGAATATATGAAAGAATGAATGAATGGCTAACTGACGGACTGACTGACTGACTGACTGACTGACTGACTGACTGACTGACTGAAGAAATGAATGAATAAATGAATGAATGAATGAATGCAGTACATGAGACACACAAACAGGCTGTGACACATTAAAAATACATGCTTAAAAACTTTTGATTGCTTGATCGTCGGATCTCGTTGCCCTACCAGCACTGATCCCATAAAGGACTGAAAGCGGTGCCATCTACTCGGTTGATCGTGTCGTTTTTCTTGACGTGTATTTGTAGCGCTTCTTTCGTGAGTCGTTTCGTTAGATTGTTTTCGTTTTCGAGGACTGTCGTTTTGTTCCAAAGCGGTGCGTGTTCTCCTGGTTCGAAAAGGTGATCTACGAAGGCGCTTCCGTTGTGATTGCAATTTTTGACGTCTCTTTGATGTTCTTTTATTCTTGTTTGCAGCTTCCGTCGTGTTTGTCCGATGTAAACAATAAACGACTAGTAGCCGAAAAACGTACCTACCTTGAACGGAGGGATTAGTCTATTTCCATCGCACCTATCTCCTTGCCACCAGCTGCTATTTCGTAATCTTCGGGATAGTGAGATGGGATTCGTATCGCATCCGAAATAATGTGATCGTCGAGCCAGCCGGCTAGTGTCGGGCCCCTGTCGTCGCACTTCGCGTTACGTGTCAGTGGGGCGAGGACCAGCTCAGTGGAAGCAATACGAGTGTCCGGTCAACAACCATGGACAGGAAGAAGAGGAGCAGAAATTTCAGTAGTAGAGACATGCATTTGTTAGCCGATGTCATGAAGACTGAAGTATAAGTCATCGAAAATAAGCGACACGATGGAAGGAGTAATGAAGAACGAAAACGGTCTTGGAAGAACATTGTTACAGCCTGTAATGCAAGGTCAGAAGAAAAATGGGACTAGAAACAGCTGACACAGCTCTGGAGAGATATGAAAAGGACGGCCAAAAAGAACAATTAGCGGTTTAAACGGCAGCAAATGGGCACTGGTGGTGGACCGGATCCTGCGCCGTTGGAACGTCAGCCACCCCCGCGACGCGCACATATTAAACTGATCACTCGGTGATAATCGTCCTTTGTGTGGCATTGAATTGGACACCGACGACGCCTCACCGGTGAAGTGACGGGACGGGGGTGAGGACGGGGGTGACGGAGACGAACCGACGAGGGCAGACGAGTAATCTGAGATACGGCTGTTGTAAGATCATGCAGTAGACTGGCGGTCGGCCATACAGAGTGAAATAACACAAGGCGATTAGCATTATTGATGCTGATTTGCACGGCTTCAAACGCTGTTCTGGTTAGGTTAATGCATCACCACATCCCATTGTTACGGCTGTACTCATTGCATGTGTAAAAACGCTGATTGGGGGGCCACCGGTCCCATAAATAATGGAATTGCGCACTTGTTCATTGGACCAGCTGATCGCCGCATCCCGATCAGCTGATCGGGAAGCCCTTTAAACTGGCGTGTAAGTCGGCATTTAAATATTTACACGCGTGTAGCTACCCACCAGTTAACCGCGGATGGAAGTCCCCGGGTAAAAGTTGGTGGGCAGCTACACGCGTGTAAGGAAGTTAGCCACCAAAATAAACGCAAGTTAACCGCAAACTGGAAGTCTCCAGCCTTAGACGGACGAGATGCTGAGTATAGTGTATTAGCCGGGCTGCATTAGAAAGATGCGAAAGTAAACAGCTCACGCATAAACAGGCGTACTTCTAATGACTTAACTCCCTGGCAGAACCCTACCATCTGCTTTCAACAAAAGCCGTTTTCTGCCACAGTAGTCTGTGCTCTGTGACCTCGAAATCGCAGCTCCTTTAGCGGTGACCGCCTGTTACCTGTGGGTCTGCTCCTCTAACGGTGACCGCCTGTGACCTCGTGTCCGCCAGGTTCGAGCCGTTCGTGGGCCCTCTGCTGCGCACCCTCTCTGAGCTGGTGTGTGAGCGCGGCGAGTCGGCAGCGGCGGCACTGCGCGCGCTCTACCACCTGACTCGCTGCACGCCGGCCGCCTCAGACGCGCTGCTGGCCGCCGGGCAGCGCAAACGGCTGGCCAAGGCGCTGCTGAGCACCGAGTCTGGCCGGCTGGAGCAGCTGCAGGCGGCTGAGCTGCTGCTGGCCGTCACCCCGGCGCACCAGCCGCTGCCCGGACAGCAGCTGCGCGCCTTTCTCGACCTGGTGTGGGCGGCCCTGGCCGACGGACTGGCCGGAGGCGATGTGAAGCTGATGCGCCAGGCCGGCCGGCTGCTCGAGTCGCTCGTCTCAGAGCTGGCCGCTGAGACGTACGAGGACAGGCTGGCGCCGGCAGTCAAACAGCTCGTCGAGCAGGTGGGTGACGCCGAGACGAGCAGAGAGCGTTATGGGCTGGAGATGCGACGGAATTAGTTGGTATCCATTCGTATCTTAGCATCTCAGCCCTCCTGGTTAACTGACCACCACCTCCCTCCCCGTGCAGGTGACTCCTGAGCGCCACCACCAGGCCGGTCTGATCCTGCGGCCGCTGTCTGCGCTGGTGCGCCGCGGTGCCGGCGGCTCGGACGTCTGGCGGCCCGTCTGTGGCCTGGCGGCTCGCCTGATGGACCAGCCAGAGGCGGTGGAGGCGGCCGCCGGTCTCCTGGAGGCCGCCCTGCACCGGCAGCTACTGCCGCCCGACGGCGGGGAGCTGGCCGCCGCGCTCTCCGGCCTGGAGCGGCTGCTGGGTGCCGAGCCGGCGCCGGCCGCCGACCCGGACACCCACTGCCGCCGGGCGCGCGCCGTCACCGCCCTGCTGGCCGCGATGGCGGCGCACGCCGGCTGCCGCGCGCCGCTGGCCGAGCGCTGGCGGCCCGAGCTGCTGGTGCGCCTGCTGCGGCCGCTGCCGCCCGTACCGGACGGACGACCCCGCCACTACACGGCCGCTGAGGTGGTGGTCGGAGCGCTGGAGCTGGCGCGCGCCCTGGCCAACGAGGTGAGCGCTGAATTATGGGCGCCGATACTGACGGCAACTGGGGAATGATAAGTAGTTTTGTTTCGTTTGAGCTCCAATCCTGTAACTGCGGAATAGGATGGTTTAGTATGCTATAAAGTGTTTGTGATTCCATTCATTCCTGCCCGTCAGCAGCTCCCAGCAATGTTAAACTGACCCCTGTTCGTCCCCCCGCTGCCCCCCAGAACGCCGGCTGGCTGGAGGCGCAGCTGGAGCTGCTGCGTGACGCGCGCCTGCTGGCCTGGCTGGGCCGCGCGCTGTCGGCCGACGACCGGGATCTGGTGCAGAGGGCGCTGCGGCTCCTCTGTGCCGGCAGTCTGCGTGATGACAGGTACGGAATAGCGACTCTTTGGAATCTCCAGTGTCCTGGGAGCAGCGGGAGGGAGAGCTGGGGCGTTATCGGCGAATGAATGGCGAATGCATTGTTGTCGAACTTGAAGCTGGAAGACTGGTCTCTGTTCTAATAATCGCCGCCTGCGGTTTTGCTGCTCACTAATTACGTCTCACCATTGCCTGACCGATACCCCACGCCTCTGCTTGGACAGCGTGCAGCAGCTGACCGACTCGCTGGCGTGTCAGCGCGCGGGCGCAGCGGCGGCGGCGACCGGAGACGCGACGGTGGCGCCGCCCTACCGGCCGCCGATCGAACTGAGCCAGACGACTGTGGAGCGGGTGGACGCGGTGCTGGCGCGGCTGCAGCAGGAGCGGGGAGACGTGAGTCACGGGCCGTTAGTGGGACGGCGGCTGGAGGGGAGAGGGGCGTGGTAGGAAGACATGGCGTCGGTTAACTATCGATTAAAGTGAACGTGAAGAGCGGAGTGAAGAAAATATTTAGCGCATGAATGCCGATATTGTTTAGAAGTGGTAATGTCAGAGACTGTACCACGGTTTTCATTTCCGGTTATCACCTGTAAACTTCCTATGTACCCTATCCATTGTTGCATCCAGTAACCAGCTTGGTCGTTCATCTTCTTCTTCTTCTTCTGCATCCCGCCGCCAGCCCGCTCAGGGGGGCGGCGGCGCAGGCGTGTCGAGCGGCGGCTCGGTCCGCCCGACACCCTCGATGAAGTCGACGACCCTCGCCGCCGGGCCGCCGAGGACGTCGACCAGGCGGGGGTCGACACCCCAGCGGCGGCGGCGGGCCGCCTCATAGGCCGGACAATCGGTCAGCAGGTGCGTCACGCTGTCGGGCTCCCCGCACGCGGGGCATTCGTCGTTGGCTGCCAGGCCAATCTTGTAGAGCGTGTCGCGCGTCAGCGGTGATGTGCCGGTCCTCAGCTGGGACAGCGTCACCGACCCCCAGCGCGCCAGGGAGTCGTGGCCAGGCGTGGGGTCCGGGTGCGGGTGGGCAGCGGTTGTCCTCCGTCGCGACAGCTCCCGGACATGGCGCGTGACGGCGGCCCGCGCACTCGATAGGTCAATCGGTGCGCTATCTTGGTCGCCCGCCGCGGCCTCGCCAGCCAGGCGGTCGGCGGTCTCGTTGCCGTCCAGCCCGGCATGGCCTGGCACCCACTGGAGCACCGTCTCGGTGCCGTTCTCGGCGAGGGTGTTCAGCAGCCTCCAGACCTCGGCGGCCAGAGCCATGGTCTGGCTAGCTGGGCCGCGGCCGAGTAGTTGTAGCCCAGACCTTGAGTCGGTGAGGAGGCGGACCGACTTGATTGATGCCAGCTCCCCTTCCTCCAGGCCGGCCACAGCCGCGAGCGCCTCGCGCATGGCGGTCAGCTCTGCTCTCAAGCTGGAGCAGACCGCCCCTGCAGGAGCGCGCACGGTTTCTTCATTGTTGAGGTGGTGAAACTGGATCAGCGCGCCTGCGCCGCCCTGTTCCATCCCGCCGCGAGCCGAGCCGTCCGACCAGATAGTAATATCCGGTTGCGGGAGCTCTGCAATGGCTCGCAGGGCAGCTTCCCTGCGGACTGCAGGCGGGTCCGACCGGCGGGTGGCCACGGGCAGGTCTACCCTGAAGGTGGTGCCGCCGCGGTGGCCCAGCCATGGCGGGTCGTTCGTCATCTCCTCCCCCTGCCCGTCCCCATCTCCTCCCTCCTCCAGTGGTCGTTCATCTCCTCCCCCTGCCCGTCCCCAGGCAAAGGAGAGTTACGTCACGCTGGTGGTGTCTAATCTAACCCACCCCGTCCCCAGACGAAGGAGAGCGTCTTGCTGATGGTCTGGTGGACACTGTCTAATGTAACCTCACATCGCCTACAGGCGAAGGAGAATGTCTCTCTGGTGGACACGATGGAGCTGTACGAGTTCAAGGTGGCCGCGCTCACTGAGACGGTGGCAGAGCTGGAGCAGGCGCTGCAGGCTGCATCTGCGCTCACCACCTCTCTGCGACTGCAGGGCGCCCAGGCCGCCGCTGAGGTCAGTGTATGGTACACGGGGCAGCACAGGGCGGCAGGGGGCAGTACAGAGCGGCAGAGGTCGGAACAGGGTGCTTATTAAGCATCGGCAGGGGTTAGTCGGTACATAGTAATTGATAGTGCATAAGAATTGGCAGAGATCAGTACAAGGCACATAGGACTCGGCGGAGGTAAAAGGGGAGCAATGCAACTATAATTTTAGGCTAGCGCGTACACGATATACAGACACAGGTCCGCGGCTGAAGTCCATGCATGATCGACCAATGTTATCGGAAGTCGGAGCGGACGTTCCCCCTCCACTGTAAACTGCTCTCGTCTCCCATACCAGACACCCCCTGCTCCCCACTGACCGCCCCTCCCCGGACGGTCAGAACGCGGCGGTGCGCCGGCTGCTGGTGGCCGCCGAGCGGCGCGTCGAGTCCCTCCACTCTGCCAGCCGGACGGCCGAGGCGCGCCTGGCCACCGCCGACGCCCAGCTGACCCGGGTGCGTCAGGAGCGCGACCAGTGCCAGCGCGAGACGCAGCAGCAGCACGCGGCCGCTCAGCGGCTGGAGCGCGAGCTGTCTGCGCGCTCCGAGAGTCTGCGCACCGCCCAGCAGGCGGTGACGGAGACGGAGGCGCGCCGCGCCGCGCTGGCCGAACAGGTGGCCGCGCTAACCGCCGAGAAACAGGGTAAGAGAGCGGAGGGAGGGGGCGGAGCTGATGTCTAATTAGGAATGACGCTTATTTCGGTTGAATGTAGATGTTTTCTTTCTGATTCTCAGCGCTGAGGGTGCACGATGGTGATTTATCGCTTATGCTGACTTTGCTGGCGACCTGAAATATTAGTCTCGCAAATGTGTTGTCTTGCTAATCGCATTTCTCCTCATCAAATAACTATTTTTGTTCTGAAGCCAAACTCTGCACTAGTGTGAGTTTGCACCCTGTCAAGTTTTCATCTCCAAGGGTCCAGTTTGAATCCTACGTCTCTCCTCCACAGAGCTGAGCGCGGCCCGTCAGCGTCAGGAGGCCGCGCTTCAGGAGCAGGAGAGCCGCCTGCAGGAGACGTCTCGCGCGCTGCACCAGCAGGAGCAGCAGGCGGCGGCGCTGCGCACGGAGGTCACCAACCTGGAGCTGCTCTGCAAGTCTCAGGAGCGCAGCCTGGCAGAGAAGGACGCCGAGTGTGCCGAACTGTTGGAGGACAACCGGGCGCTGCGGAAAATCCAGGACATGATCCACAGCATCAGCTCAAAGGCCGGAAAGGAGAAAAAGTGAGACGCAGCCGGGGTGGGAGTGTCGTGGGTTGTGCCGAGGAATAGGAAGGCTGGCGAAGATACGGGGGCAGTCGCTGCGATGTGACGAATGGATAATAAGCTGGCGACAGGCGGTGGCATTGGGGTGACTCAAGAACCGGCGACGATCAGTGGCGCGACAGGCGAACGATGATGGGATGCCGAGCAGTTCACCGCGACGATTAGCGAACACGAGCGGGCGTTACGTGAGGCCGAGGGCCTTTTGGAGTGGATGGAGTGGCTGCTAGTTAGGCGAATGGGCTGAACCAGTGCGAGGCCAACACCTTCATGCACTTGTAGACTTGGGACCACCACCTTCATACACTAGACCATTGCGGGACCAGCACCTTCATCGCGCTTTACATTCCAAATATCATCGTCTTCTTCTGAATATCTGAACGATCTCTTGTAGATTGTGGATTCGTGGACACACTCCGCATTACGTTGCATGCTTTTCGGTGCTGCGTCTCGTGTTCTGTCGTTACAATCAGTTACTGTCGAATTTCCTGTTACATTAACCACAATTGATCACCCTCCCCCAGCGGCGCCTGTAATAGCGTGAGAGGAGAGTAGCAACTAGATTTTAATGCGAGTGGGAGTCATTGTTTGAGTGCAAAATACCCTGTTGATCTGAATGGATGTCATTTGAAACGAATATTACGTGTAAATATCATCGTGTATTAAGCTTTTGTCGGCCTGTGGATGATTTGAGCGCCCTTGGAGCACCAACTAGCGTATTGTGAGCTATCAAGAGGCACATTCGAGTGCATAGGCGCGGGAGCCGGGGGGGGCAGTGGGGGCAGCTTGCCCCCCCAACTCTGGGGCCGTGGGGGCGGTGCCCCCACAGCTTTGAGACGGAATACCACACTTTTTTTTGCAAATGTTTTCTTTTTTGTTGAAAAAGCCGAGGGGTGAAAAATAAGTGGCATAAAACCGGTGAGAAAACTAGATTTGGGGGTACCCTAGGTTGATCTCTATTATGGTGTGCCCCCCCAGTCGGAAAGGAGTTCCCGCGCCCCTGTTCGAGTGATTTCGAGCACAAACTAGTAAATTACAGGCGAGTTAGCGTCGCGTTGGAGTCAGTGTGACCGGGCTCCATGTCACATATCCGAGGATCGAATTTCACGGGAAGAGGGGTAAGTTTTAGTTGCCCTAGTGTTTCATAGAATATGTGACCGGGAAAAGGACGGTGAAAAGAAGAGACATGACACTGACAGGAGATTGACATTGAGATATAACACTCGAGATTGACATGAAATGCGAAATGGCATTGGGATACCCGATGTCATATCGCGATTATTTTTGGGAAACACGCACCATGCTGGCTATTGTGACAATCTACTAGCGGTTGATGTGAATACTGGATACGCTTAACGCTGGAACCCCCGCCCCCCCCCCCGCCGGTCCCCGTTACGGTGGGTCGCGATTACACTGGAGACCTTGCTCTATATATCTCACTGAGCCTAAAGCCTAATTTAGCTACTTCACTATTTGGAGACAATCACCCTGTTTCTGGTCGAGCACAAACGTGTACGATGATCATTTGCTGTTGAGCCCCTGTTGCCCTCCCCCCCCCCCAAAAAAAAACACATGAATCATTTTCCTTTATTGCTTTCCCTTTTAAAACTGTTTACATTTGGCTTGCACAGCACAACAATGAAGTCACACACAGGTGATGTATAAAATGAAAGCCACAAACCCTAGGGTACATACTGGCAGTAAAGCTACTGGAATCGGAATGCACAACCTGATTGTTCGAAATAATGCCCACACACAAGGATGAAGCATCAAAAGGCATGACCCGTAATACCGCCTCAATAGCATGCGGCGATTTTGCGACAATGCTGCTCGTTTTCACCATTCAATGTACAGCCTGGGAAGCACAGCACAGCTGGCTGTTCCCTGAAAACCACTGGCACGGCACTGCAAGCATCCCATCGCACCCCTGAGATCCCATCACACCCCATTCGGCTCCACTCGCTGCTTGCAGTCTCCCGAGCCCTGCATCACGCTCCGCTCCGCTTCTAGTTTGTCTGCAGCCTCCACGCCGTCCACCAGTCTGTCGAGCTCGTCCCTGAAGTCGAGCATGGCCATCGGGTCCCAGTGCTTCATCACGTCTTCCATGCTCCAGAGATCGTCGGCGACCTGCGGCTGGGCCTCAGTCAGGCGCCGCAGGGTCGCCGCGGCAGCCTGGGCCATCGTGTCGGCTGCCTCGAACAGGCGCGCCGACCAGAGCGGCCCGGTGGTATGGGCCACCGGCCGGCCGGCCAGCAGCGCCGGCGCCTCCTTCACCGGGTCCTGCATACCCATACCGAGCGCCACGTACTGGCGGCGGCCGCGCCACGTGACGGCCGCCGTGTGCAGCAGCACGTGCGCCGGCACCCGCTCCGGACCCTCGACGTGGCAGTGGCTGAGCAGCGAGCCGTCCCCCACCTCCACCTTCTGCAGTCGGCAGAACTCCACCATGGCACTAGCGGGCACCCGGCTGTGCGGGCAGAGAGCGGAGTACATCACCACGCCGTCCTGCGGCTGGCCGCGCGCGTGGCACCAGCGGCGCAGCCGCAGCACGCGCGCCAGCTCGCCGCCGCCAGCCAGGTGGTGCAGGTACTCGGGCAGCGTGCCCAGGTGGTAGAACCGCGAGCGCGGCACAGCCAGCACAGTCAGGGGCACGCCCAGCAGCGCGTCGAACGTGATCCGTCGCGCCGAGTCGGCCGGCAGCCGCGGCACCTCCACAGACTCGTAGTGGCCGGGCCGGCGCCGGCCGCCCGACGGTAGAAAATCGCGCCACACGCTCACCTCCTCATTGAGTGGCCGCAGGCGGACGTAGAGCGCCTCCAGAGCGCGCATGGCGGCCGGCCCGGCCCACACGGCGCCGTCAATCTGCACCGTCTCCCGGCCGTCTGCGAACGGTAGACAGTCCAGTGGTGAGGAAGAACTCAACTGACGTGTGGGGAGGAAACGGAGCAGACATATTTCTAAGATAAAATCAAGAAAGAATCACTGACATTTCTTTCGGAAGCGATCAGTTTTGAAAAGATTGCCACTGTGAGGTAATAAAATGTCGAAACGCCTTACATATCGGCGTGTGCAAGAATCGAGACGACCTTACCAATATCACGAACTATGGCTGTCACTGCCGACCGTCTCACCTTGCATGAAGACGGCGCCTCGCTCCCTCATCAGCTGCTCGCTGGGTTTCTGCAGCACCTCCTCACAGGGGGCCGAGAACACGTACTGGTTACCACTGGCGGATCCTGGGGGGGGTCCACGGGGTCATGACCCCCCCCAAAAGGTCTGAGAGGGTCATTTGACCCCCCCCAAAAGCCGAAGACCTAAATGCGCTATAGACGCCGTCTTGCATGCTCAAAATCACCTGTCAAACACTTCTGAGCTAATACTTTTGTTTTTCTGGATCGTGTTGCGTGAAAAGGCGTATTGAAGACCAGAATCTTACTCGTTTTTGTCTCAACCGTGCGAGCACCAGGGGATGATCCAGGAAAACTCCAAGGGGATGGTCATGAATTTAATTCGTGGTGCCCCTACCTATACGCAAAATTAAAAACTCAACGGATTTCGGTCACTTAATTTTGGTGATGTCCTATTTTCATTTTTTATTTTGTTTGTTTTATTTTTAGTGCCCCTGGGCCCTGGCAGGTCAAAATCACGTCTGAGGCGAAAGAAATTCACGGGAATCCCAAAAATCACGTCAGGACATTCAGGGCCCTCTGACCAGCCTGACAGCTAGGGCCCTTCTTACTTCCTGGGGCCTCCAGTGAATAACCGCTAGTGTCTGTGTCTGACCGCTAGGGCCCCTCTGACTCCTCAGTAGGTAGGAGGCCCTCTGTAGAGGAGGTCCTCTGTAGAAAGGAGGCCCTCAGTAGAGAGGAGGCCCCCTGTAGAGAGGAGACCCCTTTAAAGAGGAGGCCCTCTGTAGAGAGGAGACCTGCTGTAGAGAGAAGGCTCTATGTAGAGAGGAGGCCCTGTGTAGAGAGGAGGCCCTCTGTGGAAAGGAGACCGCCTGAATGCAGAAGGCCCTCTGAAGAGTGGAGACCCGCTGTAGAGAAGAGGCCCTCTGAAGAAAGGAGGCCCTCTGTAGAGAAGAGGCCCTCTGAAGAGAGGAGGCCCTTTGCAGAGATGAGGTCCTCTGGCTCTTTGAAGAGAGGAGGCCCTCTGTAAAGGAGGCCCTCTTAAAGGGAGAGACCCTCAGTAGAGAGGAAGCCCTCTGTAGAGAGGAGGCCCTGTAGCTTCTGTAGTTAAGAGGCCCTGTGAAAAGAGGAGGCCCGCAGTAGAGATCGGTGGTCCTCTGTAGAGAGGAGGCCCCCTCTGTGTTTTGACAAATGTTTTTGCAAATTTTTCGCGGCGCTTCGCGCCGCCGATTTATGTACATACGTACAGGTCAATACGAAATCTTGACTGTAATTACATAAACCAACCGTGTCAAATTGAATCAGAATTCATATGTGTGCTGTAAAGGAACTCCGGCTTGTACTGCAATGCTAAAAGGGTGGTAAAATTTGTGTTTTGGAGCTGTGTTTCGACACATTCTTTTGCAAATTTTCTCGGCGCTTCGCGCCGCCGATTTATACACCAATCAATAAGAGAGAAATAACAGTGACTGTAATAACACCAACCGTGTCAAATTGAATCGGAATTCATATGTGTACTGTGAAGGAACTCCGGCTTGTACTAGCATGCTAAAAAGGTTGTAATATTTGTGTTTTAGAGCTGTGTTTTGACAACTTTTTTTTGCAAATTTTTGCGGCGCTTCGCGCCGCCGATTCATACACAGGTCAATAAGAGAGATCGTGACTGTATGCTACTATTTACTAATGCATTAGGCTAAAAGTGAGGTAACTATATCTACTTCTGGGTTTTTAAGTCGGTCGACCCACCTCCCCCCCCCCCAGTAAAAAATCCGTGGCGACGCTCCTATATAGGTGGGTTTCACTAACTAAAACTACTGAGCCGAGTGACTTACGATAAAACTTCATCTTATAAACGACGAAGATCAAATGTCATTTTTTGATCTCGACATACTCGCTCCCTACCCCCCCCCCCCGGTCGTCAGAATTCATTCACCAGACCTGGTATGTCGGCCGACTGGTGACCCCCCCCAAAACGACCCCCTAGATCCGCCCTTGCTGGTTACCGGACTTCTCGCCAGGCGGCAGCACGTACACTCCGTGGTTGACAGCCGTCGACAGCGGAGCCGGGTGGGACGGCGTCACAAAACCGTCCGGTTTAGTCGGAAACAGATCATCTGTGAACGAAAAAAAAACAGAATCCGTTCGATAAACAGCCAAGGCGGATGTATGTCTGAACACAATACAAGTAACCCTGGTTGATTAAAGTGTCCATGATCGAATTTGATGATCGTACTTAAGTTATCTTTCTTTTGAAACACTTGTTTTATTAGTGCGACGTTATGGGCGCAAAATGACCTTTGCAGTCGGCGCGCCCTAAAACCCCAATAAACAACAATTTTTTTATAGAGAGTTTAGCGTTGTGAGGAAAATAATCATGATGATTATGAGCATATTTGATTGGAATTTTGCTATTTTTTTCATTTTATTCAGATTATATTGAGGATTAGGCTATCTTTGACCATCCGGTCTGTATTATCCCCCTAACCCCCTCCAGACCACCAGTCATCCCCTGAAGTCTCGGCGTCGATCCGCCAATCTCCGGG